TCATCAGCATCATTGGTATCATTCTTATCATCATCAGTATCATCATCTTCATCAGCCTCATGAGTATCATCGTCATCAGCATCATCATCAACATCACCATCCTATTCGTCCGTAGCATCATCAGTCATATCATCAACAACATCAGCATCAGCCTCAGCATCGGCATCCGCATCCTCAACATCAACAGCAGCATCATCAACAGCATTCATCATCATTGTCACCATCACCGTCATCAACATCATCATCATCATCATCAACATCGTCAGCAGCACCAGCATCATCAGCAGCACTGGCATCATCATCATCATAAGCATCATCAACATAAGCAGCATCAGCATCATCATCATCAGCATCATCATCAGCAGCAGCATCATCATTCATCACCCTTGCCGTCACCAGCACCATCGTCATTAGACGCATGGGCATCAGCCACATGTCTGCACACCCCTCGCACGTCCCTTGGCTCCAAAGGGAGCTCCACCGGAGGCCCCAGTGGGAGGTTTCGCATGGTGACGCCGCAGCTATTTCGGCACACCCCGCGCAAGCTTCGTCGCTCCATAGGGAGCTCCACCGAAGGCCCCAGTGGGAGGATTCGCATTGTGCCGCCCAACCAATTTCTGCATATTCCTCGCACGCGCCGTGGCCCCATAGGGAGCTCCACGGAAGGCCCAAGTGAGATGTTCGCATGGCTCCGCCGCATCCATTTCAGCATACCCCTCGCACGCTTCCTGGCTCCATAACGAGCTCCACCGAAGGCCCCAGTGGGAGGGTTCGCATGGCGCCGACGCATCCATTTCGGCACACCCCTCGCACGCACGCTTCGTGGCCCCATAGGAATCTCCACCGAAGACACCAGTTGGCGGGTTCGCATGGCTCCGCCGCACCTACTTCGGCATACCACTCGCACGCTTCGTGGCCCAGTAGGGAGCTCCACCGAAGGCCTCAGTGGGAGGACTCACATGGCGCTGCCGCACCTCGGCACACCCCTCGCACGTCCCGTGGCATCTTAGGCAGCTCCATCGAAGGCTCCAGTGCGAGGGTTCGCATGGCGCCGCCGCACCCATTTCGGCACACACCTCGCACGTTTCGTAGCCCCATGGGGAGCTCCACCGAAGGCCTCAGTGGGTGGGTTCGCACGGCTCCGCCGCATCCATTTCGGCATACCTCTCGCACGTTTCGTGGCCCCGTAGGGAGGTCCACCGAAGGCCCCAGTTGGAGGATTCGCATGGCGCTGCCGCACCAATGCCTCCACACCCCTCACATGTTCCGCGGCCTCCCTCATTCGTTTCACTTGCCGCGCGTGTTAGTGTGGCCAAAATGATGGGCGAAGAGAAGTGGTACAGAGACGAGGTACCCGTTGGTGGAGGTCGAGGGCTCCTCCGCATCAGGTCGGGGCGTCGTCAAGAGATCGCGGCGCCCGGCTTTTCTGCGCCTTCGGCTTCTGGGGGCAGCTTGTCGCGGCCGCAGGGTCGTCGAGAAGGCAGCCTGCGACGGAAAGCCAACCCACGGGGATGCGGGGGAGCGGCCCGCCTCAGGGGGGGCGCCCGCGCGAGAGGGCTCTCGAGGACCAACGGGCTGTGCAGGTGTCCAAGCACTGCCAGCTGGCATCACGAGTATGCTGCCAGCTGTCAGCTGGCTGCCCGATGAGCACTGCCAGCTGCCATACTGCTAGCCGACCGGGCCCGTGCCAGCTGTCAGGCTGCCATACTGCCAGGTGCCACATTGCCAGCTCATTCGGAGGTCCGCGTGGACGTCTTGTCGCAGGCGCTTTCTCTTCCCCAATCCCCGAGTTCCCAGAAACCAATTCGAACTCGGGGATACACCCTTGGTGGAGCTAACTGTCAGGACGCACCCCTGTCGAAGATGGACGCCCTCCCCCCATCGAATATCCCCGAGTTTGGCCACAATGGTTCGTCCAGTCGAAAACCCAGAAAGTTTTGGATTGAGATCGCCATACCCCGCGTTATAGAATTACTGCTTTAAACGTCCGCGCGGGCCTCTTGTTGGGTCGGTGCCAGGCCCTCTTCCACCCACATCCCCGGGCGGCGCCTTCGGCGCCGCACCTGGCGGCGGAGGCGCCGCAGGAAGGGGGTGCGTGACTGCTCACGACCCAACTCGATTCGATCTCCAAAAATCTGGTCCGATGTCGATCCGACCCGACACGAGCCGATTCCCTCTCCAGCCTGCAGGGGCCAACCCCGATCCGCGGTCCCAAGCGACACGGTCCCGATCCGATCCCGCGCCGATTCAGGCCAGGTCAGATCCGTTTGCGATCGAATCCGACCGTGACTGTCCAGCGAGAGCCAAAAAATAGCACCAGGACTTTTGAATTTCAATTCTAGCGAACGTTTTGAGCAGCCCGATAGGTCTTGAGAGCTATCAGTTGGCACTCTGGGTGGTAAGGGGGGGAAAGGGCGCCCCAGCGCCTGTCCAAAAAGTCCGCATGGACCTCCGAAAGTCTGCGCGCATGCAGCTGTTCTGCTGTTCTACCCCCCCGAGATGACCCGGGCGCTGACATGTGTTCACGCCACGCGTTTTCGCCAAATGTCCGGACCTGGGACCTTCGCAGATCGACCCGGCTCGAGAAATGCCCCGGAGACACGCGGGGTCGAGGGCTCCAGTCGTGACTTCCAACGGAGTTCCAATTTGTTCGCGACGGCGCATCTCAGTGTCCAGCGCCGTGGGCAGGCGGCGTCCAAAATCACGACCGGCGGCTTTGCCGCATTTGGGGCTCCTGGACCCTCACGGATCGATCCGGCTGGAGAAGACCCGCATCAGGATGCGACCAAGAGATCCAGGAGGAGGAGGCGGAGGAGGAGTATCAGCTTTTGGGAGGCGCCGTGGCGACGATTTGGCTCGAGGTTTTGGTCATAATGCGCTGCGGGAGAGGCCCGGGGGTCGGCTTCATGGGAGGAGGCCCACATCTCCAGGCGCAGATGTGGGCGCCTCCAAGGAGGGGGGGGGCGCGTGTTCATGCCCCGTGCCCCGCCAAAACAGGAATCCGCAGCGGAAAGGCCGATCCCGCCCTTGACCTTCCAGGGTGCTAGGAGATAGCCCTTCAGACTCAATAGCGGTTTCGTGCAAAGGTCCTGGTGCTGTTTTCTGGTCCTCCTCGAGGGCCAGGGTTGGGCGCGGCGGGGAAACAGACCTGGGGGGGTAAGGTGCACGCCGTGGAAGAAGACCACAACGCCAGAGGCCTGGGGTGCAGACAGAGAATGGGCAGGCTTCGAGGGACAAAAAACTATACACACACGAACGTTGGACGGTCCGCGCTGATTTGTAGGATCTGCCCTGGACCTCCCTGGCGGCGCCTCCGGCGCCGCCCCTGGTGCGCTCTGCGCGCCAGGGAGCGGGTTCCAGCGCAGATCCAAGAAGCCCGCGCGGAGCGCCGAAAGCTTGTGTGTGTGTTTTTACGCGGCTCCTTGCTCCTCTTGAGGCTAGGACGGGCCCAGCTGCAGTGGATGGCCCTCGCTGGCCCGCTGCTCGCGGAGCTCAGGGGCGTCGGACCTGTCCCCATCCGCGGCGGGCCGGGGCTCCCCGAGTCAGCATCGTTTGACCGATCCCCATCCCCATCCCCTTCGAGACCCCCACCGAATTACCACCCCAGTTGGGGATGCACCCCTCGAAACCCGAAGGTCACGGCCTAGATCCCCATCTAGGGGGATAAGTCGGCCAGTGGGGCCCAGGCCACGCCGCTGGGGATGGGGGGAGCGGTTGAACGATACTCCTCGGGGCGCCTGCCTGCCCTGCCCCTCGAGGTGGCGCGCGGGTGCCGCGAAGGCCGGCGGAGACGGCATCCGTCCCCGCCTGGAGGGCAGGGCTCGAGCTGGACGGTGTGTCGGCGACTTCGGGGGCCGTTGTTCGTTTTTGGCTCTTCGTTGTGCAGCAGGGGCGGGGCGAAGACCGAGCGAGGAGAGCCGAAGACAGAACAGAAACGAAGCGAGCGGTTGGGCTCGAGCCCTGCTGGCACCCCCGAGCAATGAGAAGATCACGGCGGAAGGTTCTTCGCTAGTCTCGGCCTTTGGGGGCCCGCGCCGAGTCTTGGAACCGGATGGAAAACACACACACACACACACACACATACACAGGCACACACACACACATTAAGAATCGTCGATCCCCATGAAAATATCCAAAATATGGGAAGCGAAGGGGAAGACGAGCATCAAGAAAATATTGGACATATGAGGAATCCTGGGATTTGTGTCTATTAATTTGTGTGTCCATGGGCCCCTTCACAAAAGCGACTCAGGATGAAAAACGGGTCCCCGTGAATGGGTCGACACTACTGGGGGCCGTAGTTACAGAAAAAGCATGATGTCGAGGGTTTGCAGACAGCGGAGCCAACCCAGACATGCGATGTCTTGATGTTTCCAGTGCTGGGCCCCCGGAAGTCCCAACCTTTTTTTTCGGGACCAATGTTTCATCCTGGGCCGCTTGTTACGGCCCCAGGGCCTGGCAAGGGCCCCATAGAGACCGAAAATTAAGAGAAACATCCGTCCTGATTGTTTCAAGCCGTTTCTGCATGTCTGTCATGCGCAACGATAGGCGGGGATAAGCATAGGGGGGGGACGCATCGACCCCTCATCGCCCACTGATCGGCGATAGGGGCCCCACAGCTCTAACCTGCCCAGGAACGCGCGGATTCACTACTGGGGGCGTATCGCCGATCCGTCAGCGATGCGTTGCCGATTCCGAGTCGATGTGTCCCCCCCCCTGATGCCAGCCCCCCACAGATAGTGGCCCCTCAGTCTGGGAACGCTTTCCAGGTGGGGACGGGATAAAGAACAAGTTTGGTTTAAAAAAACAAGTGTGACAAAAAATAAGTGTGAAACTAACAAGTGATATATATATATATATATATATATAAGTATTGAAATTAATAATCAATAAACAAAAAAGTGATCACACTTGTGCGCAGGAGCTCGCTCGGGCCGGAAGGGCTGCGGCTCGGCCGCTGCCGGAAGGGTCGTCCGACCGCGCAGGGCAGGGGCGCCGCGATGCCCCGCAGCACGCCGGCAGCCGGCAGGTCTCGTCGGGCACGGGGCTGCTCTCGGCAGGTCGCTCGGGTCTCCTCCTCCTCCTCCTCCTCCTCCTCCTCATCTTCCTTCCATAGTCCTTGTTCATCTTGCCTCCGCCTCCTCCTCCTCGTCCTCCTCCTCCTCATCTTCCTCCTCCTCCTCCTCCTCGTCCTCCTCCTCTTCCTCCTCCTCCTCATTTTCCTTCCATGTTCCTTGTTCGTCTTGCCTCCTCGGACGCGGGGCTGACCTCGGCAGGTCGCTCGGGACACCTCCGCGCGGGCTCCGAGCCCCAGCCCGCGGGGTGCCCCAGGGCCGCGCCAGAGAACGGGAGCAGCTGCACGGGGAGTGGCGAGGAGGTGTGCGAGTACGACTTCGTCGAGTGCCCTCAACAGGGGCGCCGACAGGGAGGGACAGCCGAAGAGAAACAACCTGCGACGTACGGCCGGACCGAATTACAAGATTGAGGTCGGTTAAGGGATGGTACCCCGACATTATTCGTGCGGTGTTGGATATTATTGTGCATCCTGGGGGAGGATATCCTCGAATGTGTTTCAGCTTGCCCGGCGGGGGGTCTCATGTTCTTGAAGGATGTGGCTCTGTCTGAGGCCCGGCCGTACCCAAGCCACTTGCATTTAGTGACAAGAGGAGCTGGTCCAGAATATCATGGCTGATGACAACACATGATATACCATTGGTTGTAAAAGGTATATGGGAAGCGTGCGCGCGCCTTGCACGACTCACAGAACAACAACAAATGGACGAGGACTGAGGCCCCAGGCTCGAAGAGGAAAGGTGGGTGGTACCGAGGGGCAGGAACAGGACAGAAGAGGGCCGAACAGTTAACGCGACAGCAGCAGTGAAACGGTGGAACAAGGAAGAGGATAACGAAAGAGGCAAGATCACTGTCCAGTTGAACGCTGGACGAGAAGTACGGCCCGCGCAATGTCTCTCTGGCGTGCCAAAAAGTCAGCTGTTCATAGTTAGTGCAACAAGCGAGTGAGGCCGAGCTCGCCCGCCAGGTTCTTCGCTTCCTTCCTGCACCCTGCAGTGCGGGAGCTAAACGCCCGCAGGCGCGACGCCAGGTCTTCGGGCGGCCCGCAGGAAAGGAAATCAAGACTAATGCGTCAACGTAGGACGCCGCTATGCTGGACCCACAAGCAGCCTTCGAATGTGGCGACTGTTCGCAGCCCCCCAGGGATGGCGAGGTCGAATCTGACTTTTTACGAAGAGCGTCATCCCGGTGGACCCCCAGCACCCTTCGAAATCGCAGCCCCCCAGGGACGGCGAGGTCTACTCTGATTCTGCGTGGCGCGTCACTCCGCTGGACGCCCGAGCAGCCCATGTGAGTCTGCGGCGCGTCATTCCGCTGGACCCCCCAGCAATCCTCGAAAGATGCCACAGCCTCGCAGCCCCCCCACGGATGGCGAATTCGAATCTGAATGTGCATTGCGCGTCATTCCGGTGGATTCCCAAGCTGCCTTCGAAAATGGTGACCGTCTCGCAATTCGCAGCCCCCCAGGGACGGCGAGGTCGAATATTTTTTTCCGCTGGACCCCCCAGCTGCCCTCGAAAGTGGCGGCAGTTTCTCACTTCGCAGCCCCCCAGGGATGGTGAGGTCGAATCGGCATCTACGTAGCGTGTCATGCCACCGGATTATCCAGCAGCCTTCGAAAGTGACGACTTTCTCAGAATTCGCAGCCCCGCAGGGATGGCGAGTTGGGAGGCAGACCCGCAGGCAAGCAGGAGGCAGGCAAGATGCAGGACGGGCAGGAGGAAGAGGGATGAGAGGAGGAGGGAGGCAGAAAGAGATGGTCGAGACCGCACTGTTGATCAAAACGAAAACCCAACGCAGGAGGGGTCGGAAAAATATGCCGACGGTTGGACCCCGCGCGATAACATCCCAAACGAATTCAGAACAACTCCTCACCTGGTTTCTGCGGGTTTGGACGATTGATCTGAATGCTTGGGCAGAGATTGTTTTATATCTCATCCACAGACGAGGCAACCGCTCCTGACATCCTCACGACTTGTCCCCTCTTGTGGCGCTCAAGTGCAACGCGTGCTACAATGTGCCGATGACCGCCTGGGATTACTAATATGAAATTTGGGCCCCATAGGGAAGGGCCCCCCGCACGAGACTTGTTCGTTATTCGCTCAGGGACGAAGCCCCCGCTCGACACATCCTCACGATTTGCACAGTTGGAGCGTTCACGTGATATGCGTGCTGCAGTATGCCTACGACCGCCTCGGATTACTAACATGAAGCGGGGGGGCATAGCTCCAGATTTTTCCGGTACCCACTCACCGACGAGGCCCCCGCTCGAGACGTCATCGCGGTCTGCCCCATTTGGAGCGTTCAAGTGTTGTTTTTGCTACAGTAGGCCAATGACCGTTTCTAAGTGTAAGCGCGAAATGGGGGGACCATAGGGAGAGGTTTCCAGTTCGAGATTGTAGTGGCCTCGGCCAGTGCCGCCGATCCGGGGCGCTCCGACTGATGTGATCCTTTTTCGCCCTCGTCCCTCCTCTCTTTTTCCCTCCCCTCCTCTCACTCAGCATTTATCGAAGACGCCTACGGCGAATCACCGCCGCCCCCTGCCTTTTTGGAAACGCCGATGTGGCCGAAAGTTGGACTAGAGCTTGGCCAAGCTATCGGACCATGAGTTCCCCGAGTCGGTTTGGAAAGCTTTCGGGGAACACATGGGAGAGAATGATTATGAACAGGAAGAGGAAGAGGAAGAAATAGAGTAGGAGGATGAGGGTTGTTAGGAGTCTCTTGGGGCACCCTTGGGGTCTGTTGGGGGCTTCTTGGGGGCCTCTTCGAGGCCTCTTGGAGGCATCTTGGGGGCCTCCTTGGGCCTCTTGGGGGCCTTTGGGGGCTTCCTGGGGGTCTCTTTGGCCGTCTTAGGGCGTTCCTGGTCCGTCTGACGCCGTCTGGAGCCGTCTTGGGGGCCTCTCTGGGCCGTCTTGGGGCCCTCTTGGGGCGCTTCAGGGCCGTCTTGGAGGCCATGTTGGGCGTCTTGGAGGCCTCTTGGGCCGTCTTGGGGCGCTCTTGGGGCCGTCTTGGGGGGCCCTTGGGCCGTCATAGGGCCTTCTTGGAGGCCTCTTGGGCGATCTTGGGGGCCTCTTGGGCCGTCGGAAGGCCGAAAAGAAGAAAACGCAAAAAACCTTCAAAAACCTAAGGAAAACCAATGATTTTGGCCTCTTCGGGCTCTCCTGGAGAACGTCTTGGAGGCCTCTTGGGCCATCTTGGAGGCATCTTGGGGCCATCTTGGCCGTCTTGGAGGGCATCTTGGGCCGTCTTGGAGGCATCTTGGAGCCATCTTAGCCGTCTTAGAGACCATCCTGGCCGTCTTAGAGGCATCTTGGAGGCCATCTTGGAACCGTCTGGGGCAGGAAATTGGGGAATTGAGCTCCTGGGCATCCTTTCCGGGTGGCCGGCGGGACGGGCCGAAGCCCATTGGGGAGTTCTTTTAGAAAAAGAACCAAAACCAAAACCTGAAACGTCCAGCACGCCGTGCACCCCTGCAAGCAGGGGGCGGCGGATCCAGTGGCCGTCGGCCTATCCCGCCACCGTGCGTGGGTGGTGGGTCAGAGGCCTCATGGATGCATGGGGGGACCATAGGGAGAGGTTTCCAGTTCGAGATTCTCCCTCAGGTCACGAAGGGGGTCCATAGGGAGAGGATCCCTACTAGAGACTTCTTCGTCAGTTACTCAGACGAGGCCCCCGTTCTAGACATCCTCACGATTCGCCTCCGACGGGCGTTCAAGTGCTATGCCTGGCACAGTATGCCGTTGACCGCCTGGACCTATTTAAGCAAGAACCCGGGTCGCCATGGGGAGGGGGCTCCCGCAAGAGACTTCCTGGCGATTCACTCGCAAACGAGGCCCCCGCTCGAGACATCTTCACAATTCGCCAACTTGGGGTGCTCAAGTGTTTTGCCTTCTATAGTATGCCGATGACCGCCTGGGATTCCTGACATGAGTCGGGTGGCCTAAAGCCACAGGAGGGGGGTCCCGCTCGAGACTTCCTCGCGATTCACTGACCGACGAGACTCGCTCGAATCTTTCTCAATATGAGTGCGTGAGTGGGTGTGTGAAGGAGTGCGTGAGTGTGTGAGTGAGTGCGGACTGCGGGAGGTTTGTCTATGCGTGGATGCGGGTGCCTGTGAGTGAGTGCCCGAGTGAGTGCGTGCGATGATGATGATGATGATGATGATGATGATGATGATGATGATGATGGTGATGGTGGTGGTGGTGGTGATGGTGATGGTGATGGTGACGGTGATGGTGATGGTGATGGTGATGGTGATGGTGATGGTGATGGTGATGGTGATGATGACAATCATGATGATCATGATGATAATGATGATGCTGGTGATGATGGTCATGATGATGGCGGTGGTGATGAATGTGACGGTGATGGTGTTGGTGATGGTGATGATGATGGTGATGATGATGATGATGCTGATGTTGAAGCTGATGCTGGTGCTGATGCTGGTGGTGATGATGATGCTGATGGTGATGATTGAGGTGATGATGCTGATGATGATGGTGACGGTGGTGGTGATAATGATGGTGGTGATGATGATGGCTATGGTAATGATGTTGATGATGATGGTGAGGGTGGCGGTGGTGATGAAGAGGATGATGATTATAATGATTATGGTGATGATGATGATCGTGCTGATGCTGATGCTGATGATGATGCTTATGGTGATGATGATGCATGCTGATGATTATGTTGATACTGGTGCGGATACTGATGGCGACGTCGACAACCACGACGACGACGACGACGACGACGCTGACTACGATGATGATGATGATGATGATGCTGCTGATGATGATGCTGCTGATGATGCTGATGCTGATGCTGTAGCTGATGCTGATCCGTTTGATGCTGCTGATGATGATGCTGCTGACGGTGATGACGATTATGACGATGATGGGGTGTGTTATTTTTGTTCCTGCGCGGGGTGTCCAGAGAAAACAAGAACCCCACATAGGACGTGGGGAAAACCTGAGCATACTGTGGGGGCGTTGGTTGAGGAATGTGCCCAGGAAGCTTCAGTCCCTGGGGGGGGCTCCTGATCTGATGAGGGCGGCAGTAATACCTATGGCCAACCCACGATTGGATTTCCAATGGCTTCCAGACCCTGGATATCCAATGCCCTCACCGTACGGTCTCGAGGGTCCGCGCGGATTTCGGGGCTCGGCGCCGGACTGGCCGGGCGGCGCGCCCCGCGCGCCGGGGAGGGGGGGTCCAGCGCCGATCCGAGAAATCCGTGCGGACCTTCGAGCGTCTGTGGTCACGCATGCGCTTTTGCTTCTCTTCTAGACTGGCCCCGGCTCAGGATGAGGATATAGATCGCTCCAGAGCGTGCGCTTTGGAACGGCCGCAGCGCCAGATGCGTCTTCCCGTTTTCCTCACCGAAGCATGAGCCCCCAATCGCCCATTCGTCGCATATTGGGGCCCGGGTGCCTCACCCAGCCCATGGACGTGCGGTTGTGAGATCGAGGACATACCGCCAATATATCGGCGATGCATCGCCGATTGCAAGTCAGTGTTTCCCCCTGGACCAAGTCCCCCCCTTTCGCCCCCCCTCACCTCACGGAGACGGGGGGTACTCGACGGGTGCTCACTGCGTGGAGGGCCGCTGGATGATCAGCCAGAGCCTCGTGGACTGCCACCGAAATGTTTCTGACATTCTGCACCTCCCCCCGATCGAGCTGGACCCGCTGCCGCCGCTGACAGTTGACTGGGGCAACCACAACGAGTCCAAGGGTGCCGAAGAGCAGTCGGAGTCGTCGCAGCCGAGCGGACACGGGTCGTTCGCTGCGCACCAAGGCTGCCCACGGGCCGCCGCGCGACTGGCAAGCGCAATGCCCCTGCTGTCCATGGTGGTGTCCCGCAGCACGCTCTGCTGATGCCGACAATTCCCGATTCGCGCGCAGTCCTGACGCAAACGCGCTCCGATCCGGGTTGCGATTGGACATGCTGGTGGCCCTCGTCCTCCTCATTGTCTTGCTCCTCCTCCTCCTCCTCCTCCTCCTCCTCCTCCTCCTCCTCCTCCTTCTCCTCATATTCCTCCTCCTCCCATCTTCCATGTTGTTTCGCTACGCGAAGGCTGTAAGTCCTGTAAGTCCCATTGTCCATGTTAATCTCGCCTCCTCGTTGCTACATCCGACTTGCCTGCAGGGTGGTCCAGGCGTTTCGCCTGAGATTGACTTCGAAGTCCTGAGCCATGAGCTGCAAGCTTCAGGATCAGGCTGAAGCTCAACATATCCAACCGTTAGGCGATCGGAGAACGGTTGATTCTCCAACTGTGTCTACCGCCCTGGCGTCGAGCAGGAAGGGGCAGGCGTTTGACTCGACGTGGCCATTGCATCAGTGTGCTTATTTAGGTAGCACAGAGTGCGAACTAGGATCTGAGCACTACGAGTTAAGATAAAGACAGAAAAGTTGCCTGGCGAAAGGGCGCGCGACATGTGCCTTGCCCCGCTCGGCACCTCTAGGAACGGCCGAGGGAGCGGTGCTGCCACGCTCTGCGAGCGTCGTGTTGGGTCAGCCGATGAGCCAAGGAGCTCCGAAACCACCCCCTGCCCGCCCCCCCTGGTGTCGAGAGGGTGCAACCCTTGTCCTGCCATGCCCTGCGAGCGCCCCGCTGAATCGGAGGGCGAGCCAGAAAACTGTGCGTGCGTCTGTGCTGCGTGGTGTGTTATGCGTACATACGTCTGTGCGTGTATGTGTATCCGTGTCTGAGAGGAGAGGAAAGGAGACGCGCGCACGACGCGGGTGAGGCACGGGAGTGGGGGCGAGGGGGGAGGTGAGACGCGGTGCGATGCGGGTGGGGAAAAAACATACCCCCGCTCAGCATGTGCGGGGGAATTGATACCGCCTTTGATCTGGGGAAGACGGCGGCGGCGACGAAGATCGCGCATCCCAGACATCCGCCGATGTGACTGCGTCAGTGCGCGGTTCCGAAGGTCCCGACCCCGACGGGCGAGTCGGAAGTCCCCCGGCCTTCCGAGAAGTTACCCTAGCCTCTCCCGAAGACACGGAAAACCTCTCAGGAGGCCAGAGGGTTTCAGAGAAAGCCCGCCGCCCTCTGAGAAGGCATTCTCCTTCTGACTTCCCCCCTCGCTCGCCGCCGATCAGTGACACGACGACGACGACGACGACGACGACGACGACGACGACGACAACGGCGACGACGACGACGACGGCGACGACGACGGCGACGGCGACGGCGCCGGCGACGGCGACGGCGGCGACGACGACGGCGACGACGACGACGACAACGGCGGCGGCGGCGGCTACGACGACGACGACGACGACGACGACGACGACGACGACGACGACGACGACGACGACGACCGTGCCTCCCACGCCAAACTGGAGGCGGAGCAAGTCCAGGGGCACCAAGATCTCTTCCGGGCCGCGCCGCCCCGTCGGCCGCGGGGAGACCGCCGCCGGATGGCCCAGGGCGCTGGCCGCAGGCCGCCGCGGGCTCAGACCTCCAGAGCGCACGATTCGGCGTCGTCGTCGCCGTCGCCGTCGTCGTCGACGTCGTCGTCGTTTCATAGATCCGCGGCGAGCGAGGGGGGAAGTGAGGAGGAGAAGGCCTTCTCAGCAGGCGGCAGGACTTCTCGGAAGCTCCTCGCGCCCTCTGGGAAGATTCCCGCGTCTCCGGGGAAGGCTCAGAAAATTTGTCGGAAGGCCGGGGGATTCCCGAGCCTTCCGAGAAGGCCCGCCCCCTCATCACTTCTCTCCCGGGATGGCCGCCGACCAGCGCATTGTGGGGGAGTGGCGGGGGGGGGGGGTAAAAATACACGCACACAACAGATCAAAAGAAACAGTTTTCGGCCACAGGGGGCCCTCGCTGGGCCCTGTGACCGTCCAGAAACAGCTCAGGATGCGGAGCCGTCCCTGGAAAACGGGCCAGGACTGCCGTGGAGCCCGAATTGAAAGATTAGCTTGGCGATGCACCCAACCCTATGCAGATGCGTGTAGCGCAGAGAGTTGCCCTCTCTTCATACATTGCGCGCCGCAGGAGGACAGTGTGGGTAGGAAGCTGCGGCTGCGGGGCATGCGCGCTGAGGCATGCTAAACTCTCGGTGGGGCGCGAAACCTGTGGCTCGGACCCCGCTTGGACCGTCTGGGGGTCTTCTTGCGGCCCTCTTGGCCTGTCTTGGGCACCCCTGGCCTTCGGAAAAGTCGAGCAGGAAGCCCCAAAAGGCTTGCGAACGCGGCACCCCTTCTCGGGAAATCCGGCAATTTGGAGCCCTGGCCACTTAGCAAAGTTCGCAGGACCCAAAGACACTCCAATTCCTGCCTCGAAGCACGGAGGCAGATGTGCATAGATATACATGCTTAGTTGCTTATATATTTGTTGCTGTATGTTTTGATTAACGTGCTTGTTTATTTGAAAAGGCCGCAACCGCACTGGAACAAATCGCCCCCGCGTGGGGAGTGTCGCAATGCCTCCCGCGTCTGCGCGATGTGTGCGTGATGCGCGGCCGAGCGTTGCTGGCTCGCCCACGCCAGCTGGAGCCGCTCAGATCTATAAAGACATTCGCGATGGCGAGCAAGGGCAAAGAGGCAGACGCTCTTTGCGACGTGCGGAGCGACGAACTGTATACATTGCATTTGATGGTACAGAAGTCGTGCTTGTCGTGGAGCTAAGGTACTCGATTTCTTTGTGGTGACGGCTCACGCATCCCTTTCTCTCAGCACAGTTGAGTTGGTGGTTGTGTTTGGGGCTTCCTCTTCTACTGCGACATGATCCGTCCCAGGTCAGAGGTTGGGATTGGAGGTTCCGGTGTCCGTGGGCGCATTGAAACCCTCCTCCCTATGGCCTCGGCGTATTCCGTTTCCTCGATGTATCTTTCATAGTTTTCAGCCGCCGTCACACGTACTTTTTAAGCATCAGTTTGTTCTGCAGCGATCGTTTGTGTATTTGTACCTGGACAGTCTGCATTGCTCGAGGCTCGCCGATTCCTTCGTCGGTTGAGGACGGTGCACTGCTTGAGGTTGTGCGCAGTGGGGACGATCAGGGATGCCCAGGGCCCCCTCTCCCCACCGCAAGGCGCGGCGGCCGAAGGCCCCGAGCCGGCCGCAGAGCCCCGCGCCGGGGCCGCGACGTCGCTGGGCGCGGGCGCCCCGCCCGCCCCCGGCAGCAGGCGCTGCCTCGAGCCGGCGCCGAGCGCCGAGGCGGGGAGCGGGCCGCTCGCAGCCCCCATCGAAACCGTGCGTCGCGGCGTCTCCCCGCCGGGCGTCCTCGCCCAGTTTTTTGGGGGGGCCCGGAGCCCCCGCCGCGAGGGCCTCCGGGCTTGGCGCGTCGGCCGTAGAGGATTCCCCAGCCCTGGCGCGGCCCTAGAGGATTCCCCAGCCCTGGCGCGGCCCTAGAGGATTCCCCAGCCGTGGCGCGGCCCTAGAGGATTCCCCTGCCCTGAAGCGGCCCTAGAGGATTCCCCAGCCCTGGCGCGGCCCTAGAGGAGGCCGTGCACCATGCGCCACTCTGGCGTCCAGCTGTGCGGCGCGTCGTGCCCAGGAGCCTCACGGACCGGCCAGGCTCGAGAAGTGCCGCGCAGGGCTCGGGCCGGGGGCCCCGGTCGCGCCCGTTGGCGGCAGGCTCGGCCCCGCCGCGACGTCGGGTCTCCGAGGTGGCGTCGGCGGCGGCCGCGATCACCGCGCTGGCGGCGCGGGGCGGCCTCGGCGCGCCCGTGGTGGCGTCGTCCGCCTCGGCGGCGGCCGCGATCACCGCGCTCGCGGCGAGGGGCAGCCTCGGCGCGCCCGCCGCCACGAGGGACGCGCGCGGCCTCGAGCGGGCGCTGGGCGGCGGCGAGGCGGCCAGCGGGCCGCCCGCAGCGACGCCAGCCGTTGCGGCGCCGGGCGCGGTCACCGCGCTCGCGGCGAAGGGCGGCGCCGGCGCGGCGGCCGGGCCATTGGCAGGCGGCCTTCTTGCGGTAGGTTCGCGTCGTGTCGACTCGCCGCGACCCCGCCGCGGGCGTGAAAGGTTGAAGGCCGCCAGCGGCCCAGTGGGCGTTGAAGGTTGAACGATCTGGCAATCGATAAACCGCCGATCGTTCAGGGTTGAACGATACACCGGGTATCAGAAGCCAGCGCTGAGGTCGTCACGACACGAATCCGCCGTACCAGTTTGAAGCATACCCATATCCCCATTATTGGCATCACCTTACCTCGGTGCCGGGCCCAAGGATTCCCTCAGGTTCTGAGGGCACATCCCTAAGATTGTCACATCGCTTTTGGCTTGCCAATCCAAGTTCAAATCTGGTTGCCCTCGCCCTGCACTCGACCGCCGCCTTCCGCTGCTTCCCCAGGCCCAAACAGACGCGACCGATCAGATTCAGGGTTGGAGCCGTCTGGGGGCCTGAGGTTGCTCAGCACTGGTTCTGGCCAGCGCGACAGGCGGGCAGGTTCGAGGTTTTGAGGTTCGGGAGGCTTTTTTGTAGTTGTCAGCTTCTGGGGGCCATTCTTGGGCCCCAGGACCGTGAACAACGGATCCAGGGCGAAAAAATATTGATTATAGTCCCAACCAGTTCAGACCCACCCGCCGCCTCCAAATTCGGTGTCGGTTCTGACCTCGACCCGATACGATTCTGGTATTCCGACGACTCGATGCGGCCCGATGTTTGCACGGCCTTGATGTGCATCTTGGCGCAGCCGATCCGATTAGATTTCGATTCCGTGCCAATGCAGCCAGATCCGGCGCACATTCCGATTCGATCCGATTTCCCGATTCGATGCTGACCGATCTTGCCTTCCGTATCTTCGCGCGGCAGGTGCCGCGCAGCGGCGACCGCCGCCGCGGCCGCGCCGCGGTGGCACCTACCGCGCGGAAGGATTCGGAAGGTGGATGTCAAGGGCCCTTCCCTTCCGTCAAATCTGGGCAGGCGGTGTTTCG